GTTATTAAATGATTGTCACAGATGAGTTAAGTCTACATTAAGTTCTTTGTCTTGCCTTGTGAGCAAGAACTTTTAGTTCATAATCTTTTACGTTTACAACAAAGGGAGTTAAGGGCCCTTTTAACCATTTCCTCGAATGCAGTTTGTTTTTAATGAAAATAGGTTTATTAAGTTAAATAGATTCAAATGCAAATGGGACTCTTAGATGGAAAACAGTTGGAAATAGCTTGAATACATGCTAAAAAGTCCATTAAGTGACATATCTACTAAATTAAAGTGCAAACAAAGAGACTCAGACAAGATTTCACCTTGTTGGGCAAGGTCGAACTTCTTACAACCATTTTTCTTTGAGTTTATAGAGGTTGTATGCTAAAAAGGATGGATGGTAAATAGGTTTTACATGAGGGAATCGATACTACAACACCAAGGGAAGGTAGCAGAGCTATTACACTAGATAAAAGATAGTTTTTCTAAGGGAATTATAGCTTTAAAAGGACTGAATCTGGACAAGTTTAAGCTTTCTGGGTACGAATTGGCTTGAGAGCAGAGTTTGTATGTTTTTTTTATTGGTTGGTTGAGTGTCCTTATCTCTGTTGTCTCTTTCTCCTTTTATAGACAATTTGGCCCAACTGCTTTAGCTTTACTCTTAGCCGATGGCCTATTTACTTGTAATGTCTTTAGAAAGTGTTTTTTGGCTGATAATGAGTTGGTCTATGTCATTTGTCACTTCCATCATAGGCACAGTGGCTTAAAAAAGCTTCAGTTTGCTTTAGGCTTCATTGTTGGGCTTTGGACAAGTTTGACTTATTTTGGCGCCTTTGGATTTTTTCCTAATGCAAAGCCTAATGTTAAATATTAACCCAAAAAGTGCACCCTTTAATCATTTGTTAAGTCTGTAAACCGAGACCTTAATAATGATTAAATACCAGCCGCATGATTTAACTTGGGACTTGCACCATTTAAACAACCATTTTCGAATAAACCTTTGCAATAACCCACGATGTCCAATGTTAACTAACTACCTATTATATAATCTCTATTTAAATTTCTTGGCCAAATACCTTTAGCAATCCTATTTTCTGAGCTTCCAAAGTTCCTAGATTTTCCAGAATTCCCTTGCCCTCACAATTCCTTTTTGCTTTCTGCCTTTAGCCCTCTCCACTTTCTTCCCAAAACTCAATTAATCAATGGCACCTAAAACTCGTCCTGCATATGAGTCCAGTGAGGACATCGCCACCATGTGCCGTCAACTCACCAGCCTTCATCGCCCTCAGGCTAGCCTGAATTCCTCAATTTTTTTTTTTTTGAGGAAGGATGAGTGCATTCTTTGGGGCTAGCTTGGACTGCCTGAGTCCTAATTGAGGTGGAGAATAACATGCCTTGGCCAACTAGTTTACTCCCAATCCTTACTTCGTTGAAGCTGGTATATCGACCTTCAAGTGGTCCAACTTTCAAAGGGGTTTCCCACTAAGGAGAGATGAGGCCTGGTCACATTGGGTGGACAAGCTCGAGCCTATCTGGAAGTGAATGACCAATGGAATCTATGAGCTTATCATGCTTTCCAAGGTCACGGTGATTGCTAAGCCTGAGCTGCTGACCACAGCTCTTCTCTTCTGGAACAATGGGGCCAACACATTCGATTTTAAAATGGGTCCCATGTCTCCCATGATCTTTAACATGGCTTAGGTTTTCGGGCTAAGGCCCTCAGGTAGGTGCATGGACATTACCCATGATTAGTCTTCACTTTTTAGCCTAACTTCTGAAAGCTCAGGCTCTTTTGAGTCCATTTCTTGCCTAGAGTAAACTTCTTCCACCTTCAAAAGCTATGGCATGTCCTTCGCGGACTTTATCCCATTCTCAAAGAAAACATTCAGCCCGCCCTCATCCACTACAGATAAGTCCCAAGAACACATGTACTTCTTCCTATATTGGTTGAACAAGCATGTGTTCCTAAACAAATCCAAATGAGTGAAGCTGAAGTGGATCCCCTTGGTGGAGGCCCTTCATTCCCTCGATGAAGTGGCCATGGGGCCTTTCCTCCTTGCCCACCTCTATCACCTCCTTTACAAGGTGACCAGAGGCGAGCCCTTCGAGACCAATCTCATCGAGCTAACCTAGATGGTCCAGTTATGGCTCTAGTGGTACTTCCCTGAGTTTCGGGCGCCCAACTTGGAGTTCCCTGAAGGAGTGGCTCTATCTCGTATCTTGGCCGAGGCTTCTCCTACAAACCATTGAACTCTAGTTTGACTATATTTTTTTTTCAGAATCTGTTGAACTTGGGCAGACTTGGAGTGGGGTGCCTCTATGCTTAAGAGGTACCCATGGTTCTCGAACCAGATTTTCCAAAAAAGTGAGACCTACAAGGAGAAATTTGTAAGTTACATCCAACAACGAGACCTGGCTTGGGTAGTGCGAAGCGACCGCATGGGCTACGAGCGCGAGCTAAAGGTCTACCATCATAATTTTTGTGGTAGACAGCTAGGATTTAGGCACTTGATCCCAATGCTCTACTTTAACTACATGCACTGTGGAACCTATTTCCGCATTCGCTCTCCCGTCGATGTGACATTCCAGACAGCTCGGCACAACATAGAAATGATGAGCCGCATTGCCCATAAGCACGTGGCTCTAAATTTTGAATGCACTCCTTCTTTTGCCACTTGGTGAGAGGCCAAGTGGCAAAAGAAGTACGAAAGAGATCTTATGAAAGTCCACGATTGGCTATTCGGATAGCTCTTCTTCAAATCTTACCCAAAGAAGGAGGAACTTGAGAACTAGAAGAATGTGATCAACCAGAAGAACCGGCTTCTTCTTATAGGTATACCTTATTAATTTTGTCTTCTCTTTTGTGATGTTTTCATAGTCTGTTGTTTATTAACTTTCACTCTGATCTCATAGCCCAAGGCAATGCTGAAGAAGTGGATGTCGGGCAAGAAAAAGAAGTTGCAGACGCATTTATCCTTCAAGAGGCCACCACTAAGGTAGCAAGGTAAGAGGCGGGGTCCAGCCAAGCTGCTAGAGACACTAGAGACATCTCCGACCTCTATACAGGCTCAAAGGCTAAGGCTAAGCCTGAAGTGGAGACTCGTGTACCTTGGCAGGCAAAGGTAACCATGGTAAAGTCACCAGAGTTCAAGCCTGAATAGCGGCTTCAGCCTTGTCTTACTTTGCCTGGCCTTAGGGTAACTCTTACCAGGAAGAGGACCGGGTCTCAGACTTCTCAAGCCTCCAAATCCTTAAAGCCTTCCTCTGCCCATCCAGCTGAAGCAGGTAGGAAAAAGCAAAAATCCTTCAGTTAGTGATCTTAGCCTTAGTCATTTTTTTTCTTCTCAATTTTAGTTTTCAGTTTATCGTGGGGCATGAACTAACACCCCCTTCTTTTCTTGTAATCAAGGCCTTCAGCAACTAAGAAACCTGCCCCTATTCCTTCAGATAAGCAGTTGGGCAAAGAAGTCTAGCCAGAGGATAAGGCAGTCCTCGATAAAATCCTTGAGGAGTTGAAGGTATAGCCTTCATTTTCTTAAGTACTGGGTTACTTTTGAAATTCATTTTCTTTAACACTCGTGCTAACTCTTTGTTTACTTGAAATAGGATACTAGAGGCAAAGAGATATCCCAGCCTGAGGTTTCTTCTCCTCTTGCTCGAGCAGTGCATCTTTCCCATCGTCGGGCCAAGCCCTCAAAGGTATCATATTTCCTAATCCTGGTTTATGATTTTTCAAGTTTCAAGATTAACCACCATCTTTATTCTTTTCCTCAGGCTAAAGTTGGGGCATCTACTTTTCAGGTAGGGTAAAATTTTGCTCCTACCTCTTCAACTCTTCCTCCTCCCATAGTGGCAACTCCCACTTCCCACCCCAAAGACTGAGGAGATGCTGCACTACATTGAAGATGATAGTACTTCAGTAAGCACTCTTCTTCTTAAGTTCTTCTAGGCTTTCTTTTGAATTTTCCTTAGGTTACTCTATATTCTTCTTTTATCAGTCATTTCCAGTGCACGAGGCCACTAAGCAACCACCAATAACTTTTGGGGACCTAATAGTCATTGAGATCCCCATGGTTTTAGAAGTGACTAGCTCGCGGGCTCCTCAGGCTGCTTCTCGGGCCAGTCCACCTTCTTCTCCCAAGACAACTACGACCACAAAGGTGCCCCCTTCCACTATTCAAGGTTCAGCTTAGGTATAAAAGTCATATCTCTTCTTCTCCCTCTGGAGTTATAGGGATCCCTAAGCTTTGGCAGAAGACGACTGTTGTCGTTGCCACCTCCACTTCTAGGCCTCATCCCTCACTTCAAACTGAAGCAGCTTCTAGGGGTACTGGAGTGATGCCCCCTCCAATACGAGTCATTCCTCTCATTCTTCTAGAACTGGAGGGCACTGAGGGACCAACATCAACAGGTAGAGAGACAATTGAATATAATCAAGTGCTTTAAAGAGAAGCATCTCAAGACTTATATTTCTCAGCAGCAGCTGGTGGATGAGAGGCTTGTCCATGAAGGACAGGATCTTGGTGGTGGCCTCCGAGATTCAAAAGTTGGAAGAGCAGTTATTTGCACTGAAGGTCGAGCAGATGACCCTTTTAAGCTAACTTTACCAAAAAATTGAAGAAGTGAAGAAAGTTAATCTGGAAGTAAAGGATGCCGAAGCTCAATTAGCCAACAGTAACATTGCCTTAGAAGAGCCAGGCCAAATTTTCACGGTCATGCAGACCTATCACTCTAGGATAGCTGCATTGGTTAAAGATGTAAAATTGTTTGGCAATGACTTTTTAACTTATTTATTCGATGCAAAAAAATGAAACTTCCTTCTTCACTTCCAACTTGTCTTATTTTTACTTTAAACCTTAACTGTGGTAGATGCATAAACTAACTTCAACCCTTAAAATGCTTAGACTTCCTCAATACAATAATCTCTAACATCCCACAAAGTTGGGTGATATATTTTCAAAAACTTAGCATTAATGCCTTTGCAAGTTTCCTTCTAAATCTGCCAAGTAATATCCTCATCTATCAAACACTTGGTTGATAATGAAAGGATCTGCCCAAGTGGGACTCCACTTCCCAAAACCTCTAACTTGAGCTCCCAAGGGTAACACTGTCTTCCATACTAACTCTCCCTCATTGAAGGCCTTTAACTTCACTATCTTGTTGTATGCTTGGGCAACAACCTTCTTCCCTTCTTGGATTTTATTCAAGGCTAGAATTTGGGTTGCATCTAAATCTTCAATCTATTAACACATAGCTTGAATGTATTCTTCATTATGTAGGCCAAACTGGTTTTGAAGCCTGACAGAACTTACATTGATTTCCATAGGGAGTATAACATCTTGCCCAAAGGTTAAAGCATAAAGGGTGGTTCCAGTTCCTACCCACTTTGAGGTTCTGTAAGCCCACAGAGCATCTCTTAACTTCTCATGCCACTTCTCCAGGCTATCTGCTACCATTCTCTTAATAATATTTACCAAGATTTTATTGTTAGCTTCTGTTTGACCATTGATTGGGGGTAATAAGGGCTAGATTGGATCATCTTTATCTTAAACTTGTTTGCAAATTTTTCTACTTCTTTCGAGATAAAAGATGGCCTTCAGTCTATAACAATTGTCTCGGGCACCCCATATCTGTGTAAGATCTTGGTTTCAATAAATTTCTTCACAACAGCTGAAGTGATAGTCTAACAGTTGAAGCTTATACCCATTTGGTGAAGTAGTCTGTTGCCACAATTATGAAAGTATGCCCCTTACTAGAAGCTGGGTAAATTTGCCCGATGAAGTCCATTACCCACTGGATTCGAGAATACTAAGGATATGTATTAGAGAGGTTCATGCCTTTGGCATTCTTCACACCTTCGGGCATAAACCTTACAATCCTTCTCCATATCGGGCCAAAAATAGCCTTATTTTCCCAACAACCACCTTATCTTGGTTCCAGCTTGATGTGCTCCACAAATGCTTTCATGCACTTCAGCCATCACTCTCATTGACTCTTCCAAGCCTAAACATTTTAATAGGAATCCATCTGGAGTTTTTCTTAGCAGAGTTCTATCCCACATGACAAACTTAGTTGCTTGTTGCCTAATTTTCTTACTTGTGGGAGAAGAAAGGTCTTTCAAGTACTGGATGATGGGTGTTCTCTAATCTTCTATCTCAGCTTCTTTAGTCATTATATCTAAGCTGAACCCTATTTCAAAGATAGAAGGGAGATTTTTTCTTTGTAGTTCCACATCCACCTCGAACCTTATTTCTTAGATCTGTGCTCCAGAATCCAACTGTGCCATCTCATTAGCAATTAAATTTAGGTCTTTAAGAATATGATTGACTGACACTTTAGTGCCCCAATAACTCAATAATTGAGTGGTTGCCAAATAATAACCAGCTATTGTGATGCGTCTACACTTGTTGTCTCTATTAAGCTGATTAATCACCAATTCTGAATCACCAAACAACTCAACTTCAGTTGCCCCTAGCTCTATCAGGATTTCCAAGCTAATAATCAATGCCTCGTACACTGCCCGATTGTTGATAGTATCTTGATAATCAAGAATGAATGAGTAGTAATGCTGAAATCCCTTGGGATCAACGATGACAATCCCGGCTCCAACAGCATGCTAAATACATGACCCATCAAAATACAACTTCCAAAGAGTGATCCATAGGCTTGCTATTCTCTTTACTTTTTGCTAAATCCATTCTTCCTTGCTCGAATGATCTTTATTTTGAGGGATCCTTACACTAGCTATTTCCAGAGTTCTTAGGATGTTGACAAGTTCATCCTGTGACTTTTAGTGCTCAGTCAAGAAGTCTACAATTGCTTGCCTCTTTATTGCTCTTTGGGGTACATAGTGGAAGTTGAACTCTAATAGTGCTGGAATCAATTTCCCAGCATATACTTGATCACACCAGTCTTGGCTGGCAAGGCAACATGTAATGCTTTAGCTTGCAGACAATGAATTATAAAGCCAAACATAATGTCTTAATTGGGGTATATCTTGTTTCTACCTTAGTAAGGATCTTACTGAGGTAGTATATTGCTGATTCCTTCCCTCCTTCATTGTTTTGAGCCAATAAGCTTCATATTGACTTTTCCAAGGCAGAGATATAGAACTATTAAGGTTTCCTCCTCTAATGAGGCATAAGCATTGGTGGAGAGGCTAGGTAAGCTTTCATTTTGTCAAAAGCCTCTTGGTATTTTGGCCCTTACTTAAACTCTTCTTGATTTTTCAGTCTTAGTAAAGGAGTCAATGGTTGGGTCTTGCCCGCCAAGTTAGCAATGAATCTCCTTAAGAAGTTGATCTTCCCCAGTGGCCTTTGCAATTGTACTTTATTGGTGGGGGAAGACGATTCCATTATGGCCCGAGGTTTGTTTTTGTTTACCTTCACTCCTCTTTAATGAACAAGGAATCCCAAAAAGGTACCCGATCTGACTCCAAAAACACATTTGTTGGGATTCATTTTTAACTTATGGGTCCTCATTCTCACGAAGGCTTGTCTGAGGTCTTCTAAGTGTTGCTTTTTAGTTTTTGACTTTACTAGTAAATTATCAATGTATACCTCCATGTTATGACTAATTAAATCATGAAAAATGGCGTTTATTGCCCTTTAATAGGTGGCACCAGCATTTTTGAGCCTGAACGGCATGACAACATATTCATATGCTCGTACATATCCCAAGCACCTAAAAGTTATCTTATGAATATCTTCATTAGCCATTTTTATTTTATTATAACCAGTATTCCCATCCATAAAAGATAGAACTTTGTGTTTTGCAACTACATCTATGGACAGGTCAGCCATAGGTATGGGGTATTCATCTTTAGGTGTGGCTTAGTCGACACAACATCGGATGACATTAGTTATAGCTTTTAATACAGGTACAATGTTGGCCAACCACTCGACAGACTTAGCAGGCCTAATAAATTCAGCTTTTACCAGTATCTCGATCTCTTCTTTGACCTTTTCTTCTATCTCCTTCGACATTCTCCTTAGAGCTTGCTTCATAGGTTTGTACCCTTCCTTGATAGGCATTTTGTGCTCTACTAAACTAGGGTTCATACTAGACATCTCTGTGTAATGTCATTTAAGGTAATCCTAGAACTCATGTAGAAGGTCTACTATGTTTGCCTGATCTCTAGCTTTCAACAAGCCATTAAGTTGTGTTGGCCTTGGATCCTCCTCAGTTCCTAAATTAATGGTTTCCAAATGGTCTTGTATTTCTGGTGCTGGCTTATTAGGCTAAATACACAAATATTCAACTAACTTTGGATTTTCGGGCACATCATCTGGCCAATCTAAGTTATATATACACTCAGCCATATGAATGGTTGCCTCTATCTCTTCTCCCAAAAGCTCTTTTTTTTCTCTATCCTTGGTGGTTGAAGTTTCTATTTCCCACTCTACCTCCTCATTGGCCGAGCTTTCTCTCACTTATTTTCTCTCTCTCCCATACACCAATAACCTATTAATTAAAGACCTAACTACAATCACTTGGTCATTTCTCCTCTGTTCTGACATAATTGATATTGGTAGGCTGGGACAATGTGAGGCTTGTCCAATTCCTCCCTAGTGAGAGACAATCCTTATTCTATGAGCTTTTAGGCTGTCACCTTAGTAGAATGGTCGTTCTCATTAACTCCTAAACATTGAAGATTCCAATACTGGGGTTGTAGAAGTTTACCGCTACAACATTTGCCGTGGGGAGAAATGGCCGTGACTCGGCCACCACAATCTCCCAAAATCCTGGTTTTTCGGCTGTAAACTCGTGGTAAATGGTAACTTGTTGATGTAGAGTGGACGACATAGACAGACTTTGATGAATCCAATCTTTGCCAAGCAGTGCTCGATAGGTAGAACTACTATCCATCACAAAAAATGCCAACATGATTTGCTTGGACCCTAAGTCAACTTCCAAAGGCAATATCCCATGTGTTCTGGTGATGGCTCCAGAGAAACTAGAAACTATTAGATTAGTGGGAATAAGATCTTCCTTACTTCTACCCAATCTCTTCATTTGTTTAAGTGGAAGCACATTGACTGCAGCTCCACCATCTATCAACACCCTTTTGAAGGGTCCTACCTCCAGATGAGCAGTTACGTATATGGGTTTAAAATGGTTGGCTAGGGCCAGACTTGGGTTGATGAACACCATTTGGTTAGAATATACCCTATTGGGCTTCTTTTGTGCAGGTTCGGGCCAGTCTGCGACACTTAATCCTTCTGTCTCAGCTTCTTCAACACTAATAAGTGCCATCATTGGTTCTGGTGCCAAACAATCACCTTCATTGTGGCTGGCTGATTTGGTTCAGCCCAAAACATGGCTGATAAAACATAAGTCATGTTTACGTGGAAGTTGCTGGGTCCAGGTACATCTTTTTTCTTTCCTCCAATCTGATACTCAAACTCGTCTATCCAGCCTGAGCATCATTTGTTAACATCAACTTAGGCACCTCTTCATCTACTATTATATCAAAGTTAAGCTATTGTCTTGGGGCTTCACAGGGTGTATTTTCCAGTATAGGTGAAGGTATCACTCTCTCAGGGAAAATCGTCCTAAAATAGAAATGCTCTGGTCTCCAACCTAGTGTAGGCATTATCACTACACTCATCTGAGCTCTTCTTAACACTCTGTACTTTCTTGGATGAGGATTATGAGGTACATAATTTCCTTTACCCTCCATCTTACTATTAGCTCTTTCAACCTTTTTCTTGCTCTTCTATTGGAGTTGTCTTCTTCCACCTTATGTAGCCTCCTCAAACTTAACATTGCCCACAGCTTCTGAAATGGTAGGGATTTTCATTGAGTTCATGTGAGCCTTAGGTTGTCTTTGGACTTTTCTGATCATAGATGCCTCCATTTATTTAATAAATCTTCCATCCTTGCCACCCATAAACCATTTTTGACCAAGTCGGGCTGAATCTTTCTTAGTAAGTTGGGGCACTGGTTTTATGGTTCTCTCTTTCCATCCTTGCCTTGCCCTACCGTGATGACTTGGTTGGGGAGGTTTCACTTCTATCCACCTTGGCATCTTGGCTTCCTTGTCCTCAACTTTTTCTGAGGCCTCATAGTTCTTGAATACCTTAAAAAGACCTTTAGGTTCATAATCCTCTCCTAATCTTTGGAACACATTCTTGGAGGTTCATTCTCTGCTGCCTGAATAACACTTTTACAGGCATTTTCATCTTTTATTTCTTTTCTTCTAACTAATTCTCGGTCAATAATGGTGCCCAATGCTAGCACCTCAAATTCACATTCATATTGGCATTTATTGTATAAGACCACTCTCTTGATTACAGTTGCTTGTGGTCTGTCAGGCAATCTTCTAACATATTCAGAAGGTCTAACAACTTGTCTTTTCTCACCTTTATCTTCCCAAGTAGCCATTCTCTTTAACCCAGTTAAGGTTGATTATGTTGATGGGGGCTTCTGGAAGGGATATGTGTCAATCATCATG